TATTTGTACACTATTATCCATTTGTGTACTGATAGAATACTGATGTGCAATCATCAGAAACGTTTGGAACAAAATAAACTCTGAGGCCAGGAGATTGGATTAGCAGGCTTATCAAGCATTGAATTTTATGGCCATATTTTCTGTGCCCTTCATTTGGATTTATCAATTAGGAAATATAAGATCATTAAGCTTTCTAAGCTTTCACAGAGCATGTATTATTTTATTTCACAGAGCATGTTACAAATTGGGAAACTGAGAAAAACTAGGAGAGAAAGTTGCAGAACTAGAAATAGAGCCATTTTGGGGATCTGGTGACTCCATGACTTCCTTGGCTAATGCTATTATTTATTGATTGATTAGGTTTATGCATATTGCATACAAAATCAAAGAAAATATACTAAAGTTTTGTTTATAATTGCTTTTGGCTCTTGTGGTGATGGGTGGTAGGCTATGTTCTGATTTATGATTTTCCAAATGTTCTACAGTAAATTAGGTAGGTAAGAGAATAAACAAGAAATTATTTTTAAGGTCTAGTAAAACTGATGATTTTTAAAAAAATTTACTTATTCATGCATAGAAGAGCTGGGGTGTAGACCAGAGATGCAGGGGGTGAGAGGATTTACCAGAGATAGAGTGGGAAGCAGAACAGGCAGATCTACTGAAATACACTGCTGAGGGGAGCAGGGGGTAAGACAGGAGAGGTCTGCTGCACCATGTGGGTAGCTCCCTGGCTGGGGATTGAACTCAGGCTGTAGCAGTGAGAGTGCTGAGATTTAACCCTTAGGCCACCAGGGAGGCCTCAAAAGTGATTATTTTTATGTATTGGTAGTATAGGTTTTTATCTGTCTCTGACCTAGAGTTTCTCTCTCTCTCTCTCTCTCTCTCTCTCTCTCTCTCTCTCTCTCTCTCTCTCTCTCTCACACACACACACACACACACACACACACACACACACACACACACACACACCTCTGTTCCCTCCTCCCTTTCTCCTCCTTTAGGTCCCCACCCCAGTTCCTGAGTCAGGGGTTAAACTTCCCATCAGGAATCTGAGACTCAGCATTAATAGCATGACAATATGTTGTGCTGTATCCCCCCCTATTTAGTTTGTTCTTATTTTTGACATTCCAGATTGAAAAGGGTTCTTGGACCCAGTTGCAACATGGGTGTGTGTGGAGGCTCTCCTACCCCAACAAACTTGTTGAGCAGGGTGTCTGAGATTTTGAGTTAATTCTGACACTGCCTGGAGATAGCACCATATTCCACAGATTAAGGATAGTCTCCCAAAGCCTCCCTCCTCTTCAGACACCAATTACAAGTGCAGATCATTGTCTGTGCTTCCAGCCAGCCAGCTACGAATCAGAGGTTCCTATGGCTCCCCTCAACGTTTTGCCCACAATTACACACCTGTGTGCTGACTGAATACTGATGTGAAGGTCCATCAGGTTTGAATTATTTGCTAAATTGACATGCAGAACTCAGAAAATCCATTCGCTCTCTAGATCACAGATTTATTGACAGGGATGTTATTCAGGGACAGCGGGTTGGAAGAGAGGTATAGGGCCAGGTGGGGAAAGGATGCTGAGCTCCCTTGCCCTCTCCAGGTACATCACTCACCCCCCAAAGCCCACATGTTCATCTACATGGAGGTCCTCTGAACCCCTTCCTCTAGGGTCTTAGTGGAGGCCAGATAATCTGGCTAACAGCTACATGAACGAAACAATCCATCAATTGATGCATCTGTTGTTGAGACTCTTGCAAAGTGCTGTTTTCTGAATATCAAATAATAGCTTTTTTGAGTACCGTTATGTGCTCCCCGCACCCAATCCTTACCACACCTTGAACTTTCCTTGTAGAGAGAACAGACCAGCTTTTCTCCTGGCTTTTCCCTTTTCTTTTTACAGAGGTAGCGGTGATTATATGTGTGTGAGATCCAGGGCTGCTTTCAAACATACGCGCCCTTTTGTCCTTTTCCAGTGAAATATTTTTCATAAGATTAGTCCTGTCATTGGCGTCCTGATGAAGCCAGTGGTTTTTTTTTTTTTTTAATTTTTAACTTAATTTTATTTTATATATATTTTACATCATTTTTCATTTTTGCACAATGTATGCATTTTCATCTTGGTTATAGCCCCCATACAATTCCCACTCCCCTAATTTTGACCCTACTCCCTCCTGCCCCCACCCCAACCCCATAGAGTGTCTCTGGTTTATAGTTGCTTGTTGATTTTGATTTTTACTTTATTATAGTTCGTCTTTTTCCTGGTCCCTTATTTAGGTCTTCTAAATTCCTGCTATGAGTGAGACCATCCGGTATTTTTCTTTTTCTTTCTGGAAGCCATTGGTTTTGCTCCCCCACTTCTTTTATTTTGTGTGGCGTGGTAGCAAAGCCTTACTGTAAACTTCAAAGTTCCCAGACTATTTACCGTTAGTTCCTAAGTTGATGTTCCTTTCACTTATTAATAAGGATTCACTCCAAACCAAACCAATAACAAACCCTAGAAGTCTGTCTGTAAAACCCCCCAGGGGGACGGGAGGAGAGGGTGGAAAGCAAATGGGGAGAGGACACAATGAACCATGGTAGAGGACTGTGTGAGCCTCGCTGCTGGGTGCAGTGTGGCATAGCGTGTCATAAACCAATGACCCCTCAAAAAGTTAAAAATCTTTTGTACTTAAATAAAAACTAGAGTTACAGATGCCCTGTTTACACTTTACAATATAATGCATGACTTGTTTTATTTAACATGGAATTATAAATCAAAATTTGTTTTTTTTTTAAGATTTATTTATTTATGCATACAAGAGCTGGGGTACAGGCCAGAGATGTGGGGGGGGGAGAGGATTCACCAGAGACAGAGTGGGGAGCAGAACAGGCAGACTGACAAAACACACTGCTGAGGGGAGCAGCAGGTGAGTCAGGAGAGGTCTGCTGTGCCATGTGGGTATCTCCCTGCCTGGGGTTCGAACTCATGCTGCAGTGGCTGCCAGTAGCTTCATAGTGCTGAGACTTAACCCCTTGCACCACCAGGGAGGCCCAAATCAAAATTTATGATGTTAGGAAAGACTTGCCATTCACATTAAGATAGATTGCAGAGAAAATTGTTACCAGGGAGGCAGTTCTCCTTTAGTTCTGAGCATCCCCGCACTTTTTGGCTGGGCATACCCACGATGTAAAGTCTGGGTGGCTCAGGCCATTTCTCAAAGTTGTTTGCAACAAGCAACTTTGAGGAGTGAGCTGTCTTTCCCTGGACACAGAACAAGCTTGCTTCTGCTTACTATGGAAGCGGTGAATCCCCAAACTCAACACACAGCATGTACAGGCATCCAGGATGGGGCCCTGTGTTATACGGTGTGACTTGAGGATCATGGGGTTGATATACCAATCAACATGAAGCTCTGGCTACTGCTTTTGTCTCTGACCCAGGATGCTAGTGTATTCTGCCAGTAATCATTAAAGAGTAGCTGGTTAAGTACCATACTACCACTGGAAGTATAGGAAAATCTGACTGCACTGATTTTGGCAAATGTTTCTAGGTATCATTCTTACATCACTTACTCCAAAGCAATGCTTCCCACTAGGGTGATTTCTGTCGTATCTGTGTACCATCTACACTATCATTATTTGGCTGTATTTTATGTATGTGTTCAAATCAACTCACTTAATTTGAATACTTTTTTGAAAAAGATTTTCAAAATCACCCTAAAGAATAAGCTAGGAGAGGCCTCCCCTGGTGGTGCAGCGGTTGAGCGCTGGGTTGCGAGGCTGCCCGCGGCCTCTGCAGCACCAGTTCGATCCCCAGCCACAGGCGAGGGTCCCACAAAAAAAAAAAAAAGAGAGTAAGCTAGGAGCACTCATATTTCCTGATTTCAGAACTTGTTAACAAACAATGGTAATCGAGATAGTGTAAAACTGGCACAAGAGATACAGGCCGGGCCTCCCTGGTGGTGCAAGGTGTTAAGACGCAACCTATGAAGCTGTTGGCAGCCACTGCAGCAAGAGTTCAATCCCTGGCCAGGGAACTACCGACATGGCACAGCAGACCTCTCCTGACTCACCCGCTGCTCCCCTCAGCAGTGTATTTCAGTCAATCTGCCTGTTCTGCTCCCCACTCTGTGTTTGGTGAATCCTCTCACCCCCCACCCCTCTGGCCTGTACCCCAGTTCTTGTATGCATAAATAAATAAATTTTTAAAAAATAAGATACAGGCCTTAGTACCTTAAGTAAAATATATTTTAATACACAAATATTACCATTTAAAATATGTATGCACTAGCTGGAGTCATTCCCAATCACCACCAGACCCTTCTACTTTAACCCCAAGTTATCTGATCACATTCAGAGTAGTCATGGCTGGGACAGAGACTGATTTTTTAAAATTTTGAGGTCTTATGTTCTTCCTTCTAAAAAGTTGCATCAGACTCCTTGGTAAGGGGGAAAGGGGGAAAGTCTAGTACTCTGAAATACCTAGTCTTCCAGGTATGTATGTCCAGGACAGCCCAGCCATCATTTAGGAGGGTCTGGGGCCTCCTGCAGGCTGGAGCAGAGAAGCCAAAGTCAGACTCCCCTGAGCCCTTCCACACATCCTGCCTGAGTGCCCCTCCTCTGTGCCCCTGGGGAATGGATTCATCAGGGTGTCATGAAACTGGCTTTGGGTGCCCCTGGGCAGGCACAGCAGGAAAGGAACATAAAGCTGGAACCCATCTAAGAGCTGCTTGAATTTGTTCTTAAGCATAGATAACTACTTTCTCTACTATTCCATGCAGCTGGAAGAATCTTTGGTGAGTACGAATCCTGCGTGGGCAGACAGGAAAAACAACTCTGAAATACAGCTCAGTCATTATCTTATTTTTCTTCAAAAGATCCCTGAGAGATCACTATTATCTATATTTTACAGATGAAAAATATGTAACATTTATCCTGCTAAGTGGTTTGGTGGTACTCTAGCGTTCCCATTTGCTTCTAAAATTTTGTCAACAAATATTAAGTGCCCCAATGCCTTTAGAAATAAACTGAAAAGTGCTGTTGGTTATAAAACTTTTATTATTTTTAACAATGTGTGTACATTCTAGGAATAAGGAAAAATACAAATAAGTAGAATTTTAAAAACCCCCCATAATTTTACCACCACCTGTACTTTTTGTCTTTCATGTTTTTCTATGCATATATGTAATATACAAATGTACTCTTCCCTTTCAAAAATATGATTTCACATATTACCTAGTAACTTTTTTCATTTTATATCCCCTCAACAAGCTCTTTTTGTACAAATGAGTAAAACTCTCCTCTTAAAAGGCAGAGGCTTGTAGATGGGTTCAAACTATGATAAACAATGAGCAGATAACAAGAGCTAAGCTGAAATCAACAAGCTACGCTAATGGCAACAAGTTAAAAAACAGAAAGGTGGACAGAGGTCTATCAGGAAAATGCAAATCAGAAGAAAGCTATATGGGAAAGTTAATATCAGGAAAAGCATTCTTAAAAACTACATTAAATAGGGGTAAGGGTGATTCCGATTAACCTTCCAGCGCATCACAATAAGTTTGTTTCTTACTCTCCTGATCTCATCTATTTCATTCACTTCTCTGAACATATCTTCATTGTTTAAATGCCCATTGTGTATGTCTTCTTTAAATTCCTGCAAAGACTGAATCAGCTTTTCTTTGAAAGTTTCTTCTGCTTTTTCTTCCTCTTCTAGTTCCTTTTCCTCCTCTTCTGGCTCTTTTTCTTCCTCTGGCTTTTCCTCAGGCTTCGGCTCCTCCTCAAGCTTTGGTTCACTGTCATTTTCTGGCTTCCCTTCAATTTTTTGACAGGGTTTCATCTTGTGTGTGCCTGGCTCCCTTCCGGGCCTCCTTTCCTTTCTTCCCCTGCTTATTCCTCCTCGAATGCAGTTACTTCTAGGAAGCAAGAAAAAGATGGTAAATCAAAGGCTTGGTGAGTTGTCCAGTGCTCTGGACAGAGGTCTCAGCATTTGCTTGTTTTAATTCAGAGCTATCATCAGCTGTCCCGGCCGACTCAATGAGCAAATCAGGGCTTTCCTGAGGCTGCTCTTACCTCCACTTTCCACCTCCTCACCTTTCTCTGTCTGTCTGTCTGTCTGTGTGTCTCTTTCTCTCTTTCTCTTTCTCTCTCTCTCTTTCTCTCTCTCTCTCGTCCCTCCCGCCAACCTCTCCAAGGCTCTTCTTCCTGCCTCCCTGCCCTCTGCAACACTTCTTTCCAACGGGACACAAGCCTAGACCCTCCTAGAACAGAGCAGGCCCAGGGGATGGGATGGAGGAAGGGGGGTGGGGAGGTCCAGTGGGGATCACCACCTCTGTTCTACCCTCGCCCACCTCCAGCCGAAGGGTCTTTCTTACTGGCCAGGCTCTTACCTACCTGTACAGGTCCGGGCAGTTTCTTGCTCGCCTTTTCTAGCCTGGCGTTAGAGCTCAGAACAACAGCCCTGCAGACCTGCGGACAAACGGAAATGCCAGTGGAGGGTGGGGGTGGGGGTGGGGTGGGGGTGGGGTGAGGGGGTGGGGCGGGGCTTGGTGGACCGACCAGCACCACGTACCTTTCTCCCCGTTAAGGTTCTCCGTTATGGTAACTTTCCCACCTTCTGTTTACCCCACTTCTCTCCTCTCCACTGTGCAAGTTAGCCCAAATTTCCCATCAGACAGGCAGCAGAAAAAGCAGATTATTTGCAAAATATCTTTAAGACTGAGGCGGGGTTGGAGGGGTGGGGGGTGGGGGAAATGGGGTGGGGGAGGCGGGGGTGGAGGAGAGCGGTCTGAAGTGACGGAGGCCGGACGATTATTTTTTTTTTTTTTTTTTTAATAGAGGCATGTTATTTATTTATTTATTTGTTTGTTCTGTTTATACAAGCACTGGGTACAGTCAGAAGCGCGGGAGGGTGAGAGAATTCACCAGAGCCAGAGCGGGGAGCAGAGCAGGCAGAAGGACCGAAGCACACTGCTGAGGGGAGCAGCGGGCGGCAGGAGAGGTCTGCGCGCCATGTAGGACCCTCCTCCGGGGGCCGGGGAGCAGCCGGGGATCGAACCGGCGCTGCAGAAGCCGCGGGCACCTTCGCAACCCAGCGCTCAACCACTGCGCCACCGGGGAGGCCCGGGACGATTATTTTTAAACGATCACAGGTTTCCTCGTCCTTCTCCTCCGCCCCTCGCCCCAGTCCCGTTCCCAAAAGTCATTTCCTGAAAACCTGGAGGTGAGACGTGGAGAGAAGGACTTTGACCTGGACTCCCTTAACTCTCTGCCCTAGGCGACCCCCACCCTGGAAGTCCCTCGGCAGCACTTACTCTGAAACTAACCTGCAAAATTCCAGCAAGCTGACGCCTCCGCACCCTGGCCGGGGAAGCGCCGTCCGCGCCGCTCGAGGAAGCTGGTACCCAGACGGGAACAAGGACCAGACTAGCAGGACTTCTGCACACGTCGACTCCTGGTCACGTGAGGGCGACGTCACCAGTGAGCTCGGGTCCCCAATTTCCACTCCCACCAAAAGCGCGGCAGAAGTGGACCCGCCCTCTGCCCCCCTCTCCCTCGGCCCCTTCCCCTCCCGCCTTATACTTTTGCCCCTGTCAGTCTTTTTTGTTGTTGCCTGTCCCAGAGCGGAAAATTAGATTTGCCTTCCTCTGATTACTAGGGAGGGGCTGCATCTTTCTCTGGAGCTACTGAACTTTTCTACTTCTTTCCAGAATTGTCTTCCTGCCTTCCATTCCCACAATTATGAACTCCTCTACACGTCGTCCCTCCCTCAGCCTCCATTTCATCTGCAATCTCGTCATGGACTGTCCTAGAGAGTTGGTTTGGCACCAGGTTGTGGAAAAAAAAAAAGAGCCCGAGACAGTAGTGAGATTTTCGAATGCAGTTTTTTACTTTATTCTTGATACTTTTATATTCTTTTTCTAAAGTAACATTTTTTTGATTGTTGGAAAAGGCAAAGCCAAAACTTTTAGTTAAATGAGTTAATACATGGACAGTGCTGAGAATAGTGCCTAGCATATGGTAAGTGCTTGAAAAGTGCAGGATATTATTATAATCACATTGGGATTTCATGGGAGGAAAAGAGTTCAAAATGAAAGCAAAAAGGTAATGTTTAACTCCAGAGACTAAGCAGTGGTCGTTGCCAGGAGTCTGTGCAGCCTACAGAGCCATCAGTTGTGAGGTACACCTTATGAGCCCTAGTTCCCTCATCTGAAAGAAGAGCATAACATCCCACTCATAGAACTGACTGTTGGGAGTTCTAAATGACACTTGGCTGAATGCACTTGGCTCATAGAAAGTGCAATATCTATCTTCCACAGTTTTTGGTTACCTTTCAACCTCAGTCAGACTTGGGTAAAAGCCACAAATTTGCCAATAAAAATTGCATATAGAGAGAATATGTATAAAATCTATCTATCAATGCAAATCTACTTATTTGGCATCTCGAATATACAGTTCATCCATTTATTCATTCAACATATAGTAATTAGGCACTTACTAGAGACTGTGAACCCAAATCCATCTGTCTTTTATTTTTTTTTTGTTAAAGATTTATTTTATTTATGCACAAGGGGTTGTAGGCCAGAGGTGTGTGTGGGGGGAGAGGATTCATCAGAGACAGAGTGGGGAGCAGAAGAGGCAGATTGACTGAAATACACTGCTGAGGGGACCAGGGGGTGAGCAGCCGGTGAGACAGGAGAGGTCTGTTGTGCCATGTGGGTCAGCTCCCTGGTGGGGATGAAACTCCTGCTGCAGTGGCTGCCTATAGCTTCATAGTGCTGAGACTCAACCCCTGGTGCCACCAGGGAGGGCCCCATCTGTCTCTTTTAGACCAGTCTTCTCAGTTATTATTCTTGATTGGACGTGTCAGGGCAGTGGGGCTGCATCCAAAACCCAGGCTGACTTCTAAAGGCAAAAATCCCAACTAGCCAAATTCACCTTTGAAACTTTTGGATCCCTACTTCATAGCATAATAATGTAAGTTGTAATGTTATGGGGAGGGATGAGGAATCATATAAAAGTAAGCACTTAAGTACTTAGAAGTTTATGGGAATCTGGATTTTTAAAAAAGTTTCATATCTATAATTTTCAAGTTTTACCTGAATTACCTGAGGTTTACCTGTATTACATACACAGAACAATGAAATATATATTTTTACGATAACCCAGACTTCATTCACTGTTGCCACTATTTATATACATAAATAATATATAATCCACACATAAATGTGTGCAATTTAATGGGGGTGTGTGAGAGGGGATGAGGAAGGAAGTGGATAGAGCATTGGGAGGTTTGGTGGAGGGTGAGTGAAACGTGTGCACCTATAAAGGTGTAAAAATATACCCCCAAAGTTATATAGACGTGAACAACTGGCAAATTAAACAACAAAGAAATGGATATATATTTCTATCTATCTATCTATCTATCTATCTATCTATCTATCTATCTATCTATATATATATATATATATCTTTCCTAGATTCTGTGTGAGAGGAGGCAGGGGATGCCAGTTCTCATTGCCCTGCTTTGAATGGGATGGACGAGATTCTCTCTCTCCCTATGTATACATACATATATATGTATATATCTGGGCTACCATAGTATACATATTTTCTAGCTAACAATGTGATGCAAATATTTCCATGTCATTAAATATTATGCATCATCATGTTAAAATTAATAATAATTTATTTAATTTGTTTAATACTTAGGTTGCCTTGGTGTTTTTGCTGTCATAGTCTTTACACACAACCACGATTATTCCCTAAGGAACATTTTCTTTCTTTTTTTTTTTTAAAGATTTATTTTTATTTATACAAGAACCGGGGTACAGGCCAGATACGTGGGAGGGTGAGAAGATTCACCAGAGACAGAGCAGGGAGCAGAACAGGCAGACTGATGAAATACACTGCTGGGGGAAGAGCGGGCGAGACAGGAGGTCTGCTGCGCCTTGTGGGACCCTCGCTGGCCGGCTGGGATCGAACCCGCGCTGCAGAGGCTGCGGACAGCTTCACAGCGCAGCGCTCAACCGCGTGCGCCACCAGGGGAGGCCCAGGAACATTTTCTAAAAGTGAAATTGTTAGGGCTAAAAGTCTGAAAAACCTTATGCCTTTTAAATGTGTATGACCAAAAAGACCTGCTAGAAAATATAACCAATTTACATGGTGTACTAGCAACCCATGTGAATGACGTCCTATAAAATGGAAAATATTTTGTCAAGAAAGTATTCCCTAATTTGACAGGTGTAGAAGAGTAACTTGAGGTTTTTTAAATTTGTGTATTTTGACCACTAGTGAAGTTAAATAACTACTTACTCTCCATCAAAGATCAATACTACCGTTATTTTGTTGAGATTTTAGGAACATTTATTACAGACCCATTCTTTCAATAAGTTTCATTGACTGTAAGGAAATAGAGACCTAAGCTATCTTCACACAGGCAGGATCCTTGGTGAGGATTTTTTTAAAAGATTATTTATTTATGCATACAAGAGCTGGGGTACAGGCCAGAGGTATGAGGGGTGAGAGGATTCACCAGAGAGAGTGGGGAGCAGACTGCAGATAGTGCTGAGACTTAACCCCTTGTGCCACCAGGGAGGCCCCTCCTTGGTGAGGATTTTTCAGGCAGTAACAAAGAAAGACTAAGATCTTAAGGGAAGCTGAGAATTGACTGTCCATTTCTTTTTTTTTTAATTATGTGCTCATTCTTTTTTTTTTTTTTTTAAGATTTATTTATTTATTTATACAAGCACTGGGTACAGTCAGAAGTGCGGGAGGGTGAGAGAATCCACCAGAGCCAGAGCAGAGAGCAGAACAGGCAGTCGGATGAAGAACACTGCTGAGGGGAGCAGCGGGCGGCAGGAGAGGTCTGCACGCCATGCGGGTCCCTCATCTGGTGGCCGGGGAGCAGCCGGGGATCGAACCGGCGCTGCAGAGGCTGCGGGCAGCTTTGCAACCCAGCGCTCAACCGCTGCGCCACCAGGGAGGCTCTGACTGTCCATTTTTAATGGGCCTCTAGGAGCCAGGACCTGAGCACTGTACTACGCTGCCTTAAACTCGGCTCGGCTGCTGGTCCAGTTTCTTCTCCCTTCCTCTCACATTACCTCCTCCTATGTGTCTTTTCTGTCTTACAGCTTCAGCTTCCTCATAATGGCACTCTGCGCATGGGTCAGACTTCCTCGGATTCCTAAGGTATTAATCCTCTTCTCACAAAAGTGCATATACCCCACTAGTCCCAAGCATGCACAAACGTGCATAGATTTCACGTGGTCCGTGCACTACTCTTGTCAAGAACACCTGATGTATAAATAGGTTAATATAGCCAGTGGTTGAGAATCCCTTGGACACTGGCTTAACCCTGGCTGAGGGGCTGTGGTGTGGGAGTGGGCTGGCAGGCAGCAACCTTTTAACAAGGCTAGGCTCTTCCTGGGTTCCTGGAGTCAAGGAGGCCAGAAGTGAGAAGCCTAAGAGGCCAAATCTCTCTCACAAAACATAACTGAATCAATTTATGAAAATCAAAAACTCTCAGAAGTGGAAAAGATAGATCATTTTTCTTTTTTTTTTTTTTGGTATTTTTCAGAAACAGGACAAAAATAAGACAGAGTCTACAGGGTTAAATTTACTGAAGATGTCAAATGTTTACTTGTTTTAGAAAAATTTAGTTCTCAAAATTTCAAATGAATTAGTCTGCTTTTTTTGGGGGGGGGCGAGGGGTTTTTAAAAAGCTATTAGGGGAGCCTCCCTGCTAGTGCAAGGGGTTGAGTCTCAGCACTATGAAGCTATTGCCAGCCACTGTGGCTCAAGTTCGATCCCTGGCCTGGTAGCTGACCCACATGGCGCAGCAGACCGCTCCTGTCTCGCCCGCTGCTCCCCTCAGCAGTGTATTTCAGTAGATCCGCCTGTTCTGCTCTCCACTGTCTCTGGTGAATCCTCTCACCCCACACAACCCTGGCCTACACCCCAGCTCTTGTATGCATAAATAAATAAAATAAATCTTTAAAAAAATTTAAAAAGCTATTAGGGCAGCATCACTAGAAATATTCTTGGGTTGATAATTATAAACATTAACAAATTATGAAAAATTCCAATATAGAAAAAACTATTTTTTCTAAGTTTTCTCCCCAAAGAGTATGTCTTAAAGGTTGTGAACAATTAACATATTTTCAAATGTTTTGTCCTTTGTAGCTAATGGAAAATAACTTCTATTTGATATGTGTTAGTTTAGCCATATTACAAGGCATTCCAATGAAAAGAGAAATCTTGTGATACCCATTCACCCCTCCACTAAAAATATTTTGTATTTTTGTATATTGTATTTCTGTGATGTAAAAACGAAGCATTTAAATAAAAAATTTGGAACTGAAAAGTATATAGAAGAAAGTTAAAGTTCCACTTCCACTCCTAGCTTCCTTTCCTGAAACATTTAGGTGCAGGTTAGGCGGTAAATACAGGGAGATGAATTGGGGAGAAG